GGTTTATTTCAACCTGTCTCCTATCGTCCTAAATTTGTTTCAAGTGACTAGTGACATAAAAATAATAGTTAGCATGTTAGCCGTTAGCCTAGATACAGCCGGGGCGCATAGTAGCGTCAGACCTGTTAAAACGTAAGTGAACGGGCAACCTTCAAGTGCAAAGTTAGTCCACTAAACAAGCTTTTTTTCCACAAAGACCGCCTCATATCGTTAGGATAAATGTCAGAGAACATAAAGAGAACGACATGTAAACATGTTGTCTTACCTTACCGGTGTGCTGCCATGTTTGTTTACCATCTAGCTCTGCTTTCCAAAGCGTGGCCGAAATATCGCGAGAACAAGCAGCAACAGCTGGAAGGCAGAACCGGACAGTAGCCTGAAAAGAAAAAAAAAAGGTTGCACAAAACACCCTTAAGTCTTCTCCTTAAGATTTCCTGAAAATGTTCACTGAAGTATTTATGGTTTTCTCCTTGTCTTGGTCTTATACTCTGGGGAAGGAATTCCTCGACCATTGTACAGAATGCTTTTGATACACTTTTAATTTTACACTATTTATAGATTTGACTGAATTAATTTTCGTTGCCTCTTCCTATGATGGTTTTCTGTTTTCTGGTATTTTGAGATCAAATTTACTTTGTAGTTTGTGCTTTCGATAATTGTAGTCCTCCAGAAGTATAATGTTTTCCTCCTCTGACAGATTTGGTTTTCTTGTCTTATTTTCTTCCATTTTTTCACTATCTAACTATGAGCCAACTTTATGAGAAGATTACGGCATTGCAAACATGAGTCCAAGCACACAAATAATTTCCATGCTGTAAAATCTCTTTAAACGCAGTAAATAAGTTCATGTTTTTGAGTTAACTTCACCCCAAGTCAAACTTAAGGAAAAAAATGAGGTGTTTTGAGCAACCGGTCCCAGGTTGTTAAGCAGCTAAATGAACCACTGCTTTCACCAGCTAGATGTTAACTGTGTCTGTCTGCAGTGTGGTGCAGAGCAGGTTGTGTACAGTGGATTTTTTTTTTTTTTTTTTTTGAGTTTTGTCCCTGAGTACAGCAGCCTGCTGTGGCCAGAAACAACACAGAGAGCAGTGACAGTGAAGCGAAACAGTAAAGTTGCAGCTGGACAGTTAAACAATGAGCTGAAACTCCCTATAAAGCAGAGGGGAGCTGCATAGTGTTAAGTGTAAATCTTGGAAACGGCACTATAGAAATGTTTTATACTTCCAATCATTCAGTAGCTTAATGTGCAATAAACAGTCAGAGCTTTCAGCTGGCTGTACTTTATGATTCACGTCACCACATGAAAGTAAGTGTAAGAAAGTAAACTTTGATCATTGAGCTACAGCTGGAGGCAGACGTTACTGTTAAGTACAAACTTCACCTGAAACAACATACACATCATATATTAAGAGAAAAAAAGGAGATAGGGAAACCAGCCAGACTGCAGTCATTACTGCATGGAGAAGAGGTTGGCACATGTAAATCACTCAGTGGATACACAACATATGGCCAGTTTGGTCCACATCAGAAATTGCTCAATTAAAGGAGCAGTGTGTAAGACTAAGTGACAGCAGATTACAACCGGCTGAAACGTCTCCCAGTTAGAATTCCTTCAGCATTCAGGAGGTTTTTACTAGGAGTCGAATTATCCACAGAGGTCTCTTCCTCTCCAGAACAAACAGACCAGGCGATTAAAACCTTAAAAACACTGACTAAAGCAGTTTCATGTTACAAATTGATGTTTCTGTGATGGTGTTCAACATGTCAGAGTTAAGATCCAGATGTTCAGGAGGTTTTTACTTGGAGCTGAGTTAACTGCAGTGGCTTCTAATTCGCCAAAACTAACAGACCTGGTGATTAAGACTGGTAGAAACACTGAATGAAATAGTTTACTGTTTAAAAACAGTGTTTTTTCAATGCTGCTCATCACAGAGGGCTGCTAACCTCAGTGGCTGACGCTAAAATGCAAATGACTCCACCTAGAGGCAGCGTTTGGTTTGTTTAGAGCAGGGGTAGGCAACCTGCGGATCAGAAGCCACATGCAGCTCTTTAGCCCCTCTGCAGTGGCTCCCTGTGGCTTTGACAAAAAAAATACATGGAAGTGAATAACAGTTATTTTTCAACATTTTAATTTTTAGTTATAATTTTCCAATTGTATAAATGTGTAGCCTATACACTGAATAAAAAAATGTTTTAACATCTCGTTAACCATGTGCGACATATGTCTACGGCCTGGCGCCTTTTCCTGAAATTTGCTGAATCTCAATAATGATGGCGAAGCTTGAGTCTCCTTAGTGAGGCTCGCTATTGATTCCAAATCCTACAAAAATACACGTCAAAGAGGAAAATAGAGAATTTCATAGTGAGTAGACAGATTTGTTTGTATTCACCACTAATGCTGCAAAGTACCAAATATTATATATAATATTATATATCCAGTACATTATTTTTAAGTTGACTTTCTTTAAGGGATCTATTGATTTGTCGATTCTAAAAAATGTGCCTGTGACTATTGCACATATGGGATCCAGTTTGACCATAACTTCGTAAATGTATTCATTCATATTTGTAGGGAAAGTGAGATGGTATTTTTTTCCATTCTGTACATTTCATTAACTATATCGGACCATTCTTCTACTGTGGGGGGGTCAGAAAGCAGCCAATGTCTTGTGACGGCTTTCTTACCAGCAGATATCAAAACACAGAATAAATATTTGTTAAAGTGTCTAAGTTGAAAGTCAGCTTTAACTAAATTAAATCAGACAGATTTAAAAAAACAAAAAAAAAACAAAGATTCAGCCAAAAATAGCTTTTTGATGGTAAAAGTTGCAGAGCCCTGGTTCAGGGCTACTGACAAAACATGGGGATGCAACATGGCAATCACTGTAGATGAGGATCCGCTCCCCATGTAGACATAAACAGCTCATTCTGAGGTCATGAAAAAAACCACAACAGATCTTTTTTTTCCAAGTCATTATAAAATAAACCTAAATCCTACACACTGGACCTTAAATTTGTTTCTTTGTCTTCTGATTAGAAAATAACTAACTCCACCTCAGACATCACAACAGAGAGCATCAGTTTCAGGATAATAGTTAATAAACAAGAAAAATGAAAATGTAAAACAAAACATGTGCTTCTTGATCTATGCTCATTTCTATGAGAAGCTTTTAAATAGGTTTGTGAGATGGATTCTGCAGTCATCTCAGTCCTAAGATGCCTTCAGTAAACACGGCCCAGAAATATGAAACTAAAATGAAACAGCAGCCTCTTCTCTGCATCCTTTCACTCTGCTTCATTTCACTTTGTTTCCTCAACAATCTGCTTGTTGCATCATCACCCCGTCTTTTTAGCCAGTCCTCATGTTTTTGTGGCCAGTTTTTTTTTTTACTCATAACTTTCTTTTGCTTCTCTTGAGCACAGATCCAGCGCTCTCTGGTGAGAAACAACCAGACCCAGCGTTTCTCTCAGAGACAGGCTCTGCGGCTGCACCAAGGCCTGGTTACGAGCACTGCCGAGCAGGTATCTGTGTGCGCTGGCTTCTCTGTTTATGAGCGTTTTTAATTTGTGTTTGTGCTCGTAACACTCCCTCGCCTGTCTGTTTCCAAGGTGATGGAGCGCCTCTGCGTGCGGGTCCAGCAGCAGGTGTGTGTGTTACGAGGCGTCGGAGAGATGGAGGAGATTCAAGCTGCCAAACAAGTGTTAAAAGAGGCCAGGAACTCCCGCGCTGTGAGTGATGTGAAATGTGTGAGAGTAGTATTTGCATTACTGTCACACAGAAATGTGATTTTTCTTTTGTGCCTCTCAAGCTGTACCCTTCACTGTGTGAGCTGGCTCATGTGCTGTCTGTGGACGGGCCGGTGCGGCAGAGACTGGACTCTCTGGCTGGTGAACTCGCCAAAGCTGCGGACAAAGAGCTGCAGGTAGATGTTACAGCCTCTTTTTCACAACATGATCCGTCACAGATGGCTGAGTTACTGATCGCTGGCATCCATTGCAGGTGATCGTCGACTCTATGGTGTCTCTCTGTCGCGAGCTCTGCCCTTTATCTTCTTCTGCGGCAGAGAGGTTGAGTCCTCCACTCTCATCTGTCTCCGAGCGCGTGTCCATCCCTCGCTCGGCCATCCGGACAGCTCTGATGGAAAGGGCAGCGCAGGACATCCACCGAGCCTTAGAGTAAGAGGAGGAGAAATGCAGAAATTAGAAGGGGAGCAGCAGTAAAGGGTTGAATTTGATAAGAAGGTTATTGATTTCCTCTCGCTTTTACCAAACCTCTTCCCGTCTGTCTCTCACTTTCTCCTAACCCAATCTCCTGCAGAGAAGTGAAGCTGTCAGTGGTTTCCTATCTCACCAACTCCATCGTGGACCAGATCCTGCAGGAGCTCTACGCCACCCATAAGACCCTGGTAAATACACTTACTGTAAAAGGCACTGACCACTGATTGTAGATACTCATGTGTCTGAGACAAAGTGATTGACTGGGCGTCAAAGGAACTGAAGAGCGCCGTCTGTCTGTCTGTTTTAGACTCGGCAGGTGTCTCACCTGAAACGCTGGGACGGGACATGTGAAGATGGGACTGGCTGGAGGTTCAACAGACACAGAGACTCTCTGGACATCACAGATGAGGAGCTCAGCACCAGCATAGTGAGTATGAAGATGCAGACGCACGTGGTGTTTATAAGGGCGTGTCTGAGCTCATCTTGGGCTCAGACGTACCATCTTTCCATTGTTCTCTTATGTCACAGGTGCCGGTTTTTCACATTATCAAGATTTCATCTTAAAGCCTAGACACACCGAACTGACATCAAAGAACTAGTGGTGACGAGGGCCAAGTGTTGCATCACCTCTTGATCAAAAAATTGCACCTGAACACACCACACAGCCAACTGGCTCGTACATTCTGCATCTGCATGAGAGGTCCATACTCTCCATACCAGCAGGTAGCGGTAGTCTGTATTGGTCATTCAAAAAGGATAACCGAAACACCGACAGGAGAGATTAAAGATGCTAATTAGCCAGTTAGCACATCAACAATGCAAGCCAGTGTTGAAGGAATAAATTATATTTACCATGCACTTCTGAACAATAACTCAAGCAATTACAAACCACTTTCCTCAATGGTTAAAAAAACGAATCTTATCTAATTTAAGTATATAAGTTTGTTTCGATCTCACTCCGATCTTTCCTCAATTCTGTTTCTCTTCCCGTGGACTGAGCTGAACTGTTAATCAGAGTGATTTACCACACAGACGGGCAGCCTACAAGGGGCCAACCAGTGCCAACAGTGCAGGACACGCCACAAAAACTAGCATGACCAACAGCCTTATATTAAAAACACAGGTTTATCTCTTTTTTTTTTCAACTTTATTTTCAATTTTATTATTATTATTTATTCTTAAGTGTGGATGAGTAGGTTGACATGATCAACACAGTACTTACACAGAAACAGTGTCTTTCAAGTCAGTGGAATCTTACAGGCAACTGGTGTACATCAGTCCATTTTTTGCAGTATTTTACCAGTTGTCATAGTCATACTGTCGAGCACAAACTGGTGAAGGACCACAAAGCAGACTCACAGACTCAGATAAAAGTTCAGGGTCTTTAATCAGGTTCAGGTCGGTACATGGGTGATCAGTTACACAGGCAAAATAAACCAATTCAATAGGCAAAAAGGGTTAAAAACACACTCACAGGGAACACTAGGGAAACGCTGGAAGTCTTACTCAAAGGTAAAGACGATCTGGCAGCAAACAAGGGAAACAGGGACTTAAATAAACTAAGACAAGGGAGACAATGAGACACAGGTGAAACACATTAGGGCAGGGCAAGTAATCACAAAGAAGGGACACTTGACAGGAAGAGGGATCTGGAACGAGACGAGACAATGGTTACCAAAAAAAAAACAGGAAATACAGGGATAACAAATAAACATGAATTCAGTGAAGATTGACGGGTCATGACACAACAATAAACGTCCATTTAATTTATTGCAGTTGCAGTTTATCCATCTCTTTTGGTATTTTGCCTGCAGCCATCTCTGTGCGATGGCCGAAAGTATTTTAACAAGACTGCAAAGGATTTTTCACTTTCCCAAGTATATTATTATCTCGTTAGCAGTCTCTTGCCAATATAAAAAAAGCCCAATAATATGAAAAGCCACTTCTGTTTTTTAACAACGCTGCCTCCAGCATTTGTTTTGTCCCGGGGAACCCCTTTGTGAGAATTTCAATTTTAGAGTCACAAAATATTGTTCTTCTAACTCTCAGAAAGACCCTGAGGTAGTATTAGTGTCACTTTCTCATAAATTATTCCATCTTCCTCAGTTATCTCCGGGCCTGATTCTATCTCCCAATTCTGTCTGACATGAACAGTCGAGCAGAGTTTTGTATTCTTATGTGTAATCATGATCTTAGACGTTTGTTGTCTTCAATTTTAAATGCATCAATGAATATGTCGACTGCACTGGGATCACTCTCCTCATCTTGTTTACCATATAAATAAACTTTGGCTTCATTTCTGACCTAAAAAAGCTTCAATTTTGGCAAAACTTGGAGGAATGATGGATATTCTTTGGGGCTCTGGCATTTGAAACATTGCACTGACTTTCTTGACAGAAGCAATAAAGGTCAAAACTTGATAAGCCCCAACTCCTCCACTGGAGACGTTTCAACAATACTTTGACTGATGATGAATTGTCAGTTCAATTGTGTTTTGGCCTTTAGAAGCTTTTCACTGATTGGCTTGATTGAAGCATCCTATTAAAAGTTGAAATCTCAAAAGGCCTATAATTCCTACACTAAAAGCCTGACTGGCACTAAACTGGCACAAATCAAGTCATTTTTATGCATGATACCCGCTGACCCAAAAGTGAGGAAGTAAAAGTAATATTGATTTGGTTAGTCCTGTACTCTCTGTCCAAAACTCTGAAGTGGTTTATGTGTTTTTCATCAAAGGGTTATTATTTGAATTCCCAACGCGCTCTTCTATTGAAAATATTTTCCAGTCTTCTGTGCTGCTGGCCCTTTTTCTCACCAAAGTACAACATAGCTTGTTTTCCTGTATGTTTTACCTGCCAAAGTATTCTTAATCATCAAGCACCTCAATATTTACAAGAAATCAGGTAAAATTGCAGTAGTAAACTGTTTCCCTGACATTATCTCTGCAATAAGCCCAGGGCCCCTTTCGTCGTAATCAGCCAAAGCACAGTCATTACCCCTTCATGCACCTCTAGCCTTGATGTCTCCTTTAAAACCTGCCAGGAATGTTATCATTGTTTTGTAAAGCTGAAAATATCAGAGCAGTTTATCAGAAACAGTCTTTCATGAAACCAGCTTGTTGTGTGGAGATAATGCCCTCCAGTGTACCTGAGGTAGATTTTGGAGTGTTGTGACATCTCTTTCACCACAGATTATGTAGCACTATGTTTCAATCAATCAGCAGTGCAGTCACTCTTCTCAAAACTTTCTTTAAATCAACAGTTTTAAATTATTTGGATCCAATCTCCGAAGTTTTAATACAGATTTAAGGAATATAACAGCTCTGAATAAGAGATCATAAATGATGTGCTTAGCTCCTGATAATGGTGACAGCACTATTTTACGATTCATTGTCTATTGGCATTAGCTAGTATCTCCTGTGGAGTACCTCAAGGACCCATCTTAGGCCCCATCATCTTCTCTCTTTACATGTTTCCTCTTTAAAGTACTCAGATATGTATTTCCTTTCAGTGTTATGCTGATGATACTCTGTTGTATCTCACTGTCAAACCAAACAATGAGTGTGTTTAAAAGACCCTTAGTGATTGTCTTGAGGACATGGCTCATGATGATGACTAGTTGCTTTCTCTAGCTACAACAAGAGCAAGTCTGGGTTGATTATTTTGATCTCTCTTATTTTTACCAATGCTGTAGCTAACACGTATAAGGAAGTAAAGCTATGGAAGCAGCTCTGTGAGGCTGCACTTGAGCTAAATGCTGATGTCAGCATGCTAACGTGGTTATAGTGATAATGCTAATTTGCTGATGTGTAGCAGGTATAATGTTTCCCTTGTTCAACATTTTAGTTTAGCACGTTAGCATGCTAAGATTTACTAATTAGCACTAAAATCAAAGTATAGGGGAGAATGAGGGGAATATCATTTGTTTTTCAGGTATTTAGTCATAAGCCAAAGTATTGGGCCAGCTGCAATTTTGACTTGATGATGGCGCAAGATGAAAATAGGATCACCAAAGTTAGTACAATTCATTCTGAGCATGATGCCAATTTTTTCCCCTATGAACTGATGACGGCATGACCCACCCTACTTCAGAGTCCTGCACGGGTCCATTTTTCAAGATCCGCCCCGATCCGACCCGGCGACGTACAAACCCGCACCCAAACCGCAAACCCGCGCATCAGGCCAATTAGTACCACAACCCGGTCCGACCCGTTGAAACACGACCCGCAGCCCGACCCGTAACCCGGATTTAAAGTAATCATTTTGGGTCATATTGGCTGAATATTGAACAGCATATCGCCACAGTTAAGGTGCCAGTAAGTAAACAACGACCTGAATGAAGCAGCTCTCACAATAAAAACCTGACTTCAGCTCCATCATCAACCCTCTGTGTTCTTCTCCCATACGAGTGTAAAAGCACTCGTTTGTTACGTTTAATGATTTTAAACTTTTAATCTATGTAAAGGAACTTTACATGTGTAATAACAGACTGATTTTCTGTCCAGAGCGACGTTCAGCAGTTACGAGCCGTCACATGTTTTTAGAATCCATCGAGGAAAGAAGTAATCCATCAGGGAAACACTTCAGAAACATTATAAAGTGATAGTTGTACGTTTTATCCACTTATTTCTCAAATACCTAAATAATTATTTACTGTTTTGTAAGCGGCGCTTGTTAAACGGTGGCAGCCATGTTGATTCTGTCGTCCAATCACAGATTGTGTTATTAGATGATGAAACGCGTGTAAACAGCTGAACCAATGACCTTTGCGAAAAAATGTTTTTTTAAAAACGACCCGCAGGTACCCGACCCAGTGCAGGACTCTGCCCTACTTTCCCTCTGGTTGGTCTTTTTGCCTTTGTTGGTTGGATTTGTTAGGTTTAAGCAAGAGTAGTGAGATTGATTATGGTGAGAATATCAAGGTAAGCAAATCAGAAGCAGAGTAAGGCAGAGCAGGGCAGGTCTTTGCCATTCTAGGGATCATACTTGCGAAGTGGACTTGTATGCCCATTCGAAATATAATGGCAATTTATCCAATAGTTGGTGAGATATTTCATTAAAAAACACAAATGTGAGCCTAAGGGTGGTGCTACAAGAAAAGTCAGGGGATCACAAAAGTCATTAGGATTTATCCTCTGGGCACAATGGATATCTGTACAAAATTTCACTTTCGCTATCCAATAGCTGTTGTTGAAATTTGGACCAAAGTGGTGGACTGACCGACAGACTGACATTGCCATCCCTAGAGTGAGTCATGAGCATGGCTAAAAGCTTCAACCAGCAATCTGCCGCAGTTAATCCATCTGCCAAAAATCTTTGTGCAAGCTTTCATTTTGACTTCAGCTTTCATGAACAATTGTTTCAGTAGTTAGATCCAGTTTCCTTCAGCTGAAAAGATTTTCTATAATCAAGCTTTTCCTGCCACCCCATGATGAAATTATTCACAGCACGAACCAGTTGTACTGTTATTCATCTACCTTTTTATGTCCCAGTGTGTCTTTGTTATTTTGTATTGATTGCTGTGACATGTCCAATTTGTACAGACTGAGATTCAGGTCTTGTTTTTTAAAAAATATTTCACAATGCTCCACTGACGAAAGCACTGATTGGCCTAAAGGAGGGCTTGTATCATTTGTGCTACTTGATATCTTTACTTGTGTGCCGTACTCTAATACTATCCCTCAGCCTCTTAGTATCCTTTTTTTCTTTTTTTCTCCCAGGACACAATAGCCATTAAGAAGCGCAGCTCGAGAACAAGACGAATACGACCTGTCTCCACCAGGCTGAGTGAGTACTGCTGTATATCCTCTTATCCTCCTCTTTCCTGTCTCACTCTGACCCCATCCCATCTCTTTCAGTTCTCCATTACTGTTTTTTCTGTTGACTCTCTTTCCCGTTTCTCCATCTGAGAAGTCTGTTAATGGCTCTTTTAATCTGGCCTGAGCCAAGTCTGAGTCAGTAAATCTCAGAGATTGTTATAAATTTGTCAACTTTGAAGTGGAAGAACGATGGCTCCCTATAATTCCCACCTCTTTTCTCCATGACTGTGCCTTCCTAGTTTCCTGCCCTCACATCAGTTGTAATCTTTTCACCGTTCCTTGCTGTCATCAGGTCTTTGTGACGACTCCAGCTCCTCTCCACCCCCCTCAGTGCCATCCTACTCCTCACCGCTATCCCGCTCAGCGTCCTGGGAGGGCCTGTCGGAGCTGCCTACACAGGGTCTGCCTCTCCATCATGTGACACGGGTTCGGCCAAGGCCTCCGCGGAGGCACAAAGGAGGGCACATCCCTGCTGAGACAGTAAGGCGGGTTTGATCTATCCATCCATCCATCCATCCATCCATCCATCCATCCATCCATCCATCCATCTATCTATCTATCTATCTATCTATCTATCTATCTATCTATCTATCTATCTATCTATCCATCCATCCATCCATCCATCCATCCATCCATCCATCTCCCATTTTCTAATGTTCGTGCATGCTTGCAGTGATCCCTGTCTTTCAGAGGTAATCTAAACAAAGTGGATGGCTGCTATTGGATTACGTCTCACTGAAGCCAGTGTAATCCATTTGTTTCAGTGCATACAGAACATTTACAAATGAAACTCAGTGCATGTAAACTGACCTCTAAAACACGTTTGTGCGTGTGTGTGTGTGTGTGTGTGTGTGTGTAGCATTGCAGTGAAAATGGAGGAATAAGCCCTCTTGATGATGGACTCCCAGATTTCTATACCAAAAGAGTTCTCCCTGACAGGTAAGAGTTTCTTCATTAACATCTCTTATTATTAGCATTGTCACAAAAAAGATTTATCAATACATATCAATCCTGGGTGTTTGAAATGGTTTCAAACGCATCATCGATTCAGCGGTACCAACTGTGATTTCTCTCCCTCTCTTATTGTTAATGTTTACTATAGTCGTTTTGCTGTTATCTGCTACTAACCAAGGGGAAAAAAGCTGTCGTTGTCATGTTATACCCTCGTTATATTTATCTTTTTATAAAGATTTTTAATTGTATGCCCTCTATTTCAGCTGACAACACTGTTTCTTATAGAACATCTTCTCCATTTACATGTTTTGGCTACAAATCTCGTTAACACACGGCCATTTCCCAAAGCCCACCCTAAAATACACGAGTACCTTCTTTTCAAGCACTAACTGACTACATTTACATGCACAAAATATTCAGTTTTTTTTCCTTATTCAGAATAAGACAATATTCCCACTAAGCTGTTGACGTGGCTAATGAAAATTAATATCCCTGTTTACATGCAGTCATGCGTACACAAATTAACATGCCCTAACAGGTTGGTTATCTTGTCAAAATATTGAAAAGTTGAGCTGGAGCTGTTTTCCACCAGTAGCAGAAAATGTCTTGAAAATGTCAGGGTTGGGATATTTGCACGTATCCAAAAACCTGTTGATATCCAAGTCTTTTAAAATATTTAAAAGCAGGTGTGTTTCTCTTATCGACCAGTTGGCTTTTCTTTTGGGCATGCATCTCTGCCACTGTCTTGCAAACTGTTTGCGAATTAGTTTGTATATAATGTATCTATGACACCACACAGAGCTGACCGTAATCAGGCAAGAGGCCGTGTGTCGCAAACTGCTGTAAAAAACCCTGCTGAGACACATATTCCGAATGCGCTGTATCCATGTCCAGAATGCTCCTTAAACCCAAATAATACAGGCATATCCCACGCCTTAATCGGAAAATGCTAATTTAGGAAAAAAGCCTAATTCAGAATATGTAAACATGACCTGCATCAAGTTTAGAAAAATGTCATATTCGGAATAATCGTAGAAAATAAGTATGAACTGATTGTCACAGTCTGCTTTGTGTCCTTATGTCTTCAGCCTTTATCAGAAGACTGGACTTATATCTATCTGTTGCAAACTATAGAGTCATTTAAGTTGCCTATGTAAGTTAGTCTCTTTGTTTTCACTGCAGTCAGTTTATTATTAAAAGGATTGTGTTTTCTGGGTTTTTGAGTTTCTGTTTACCCCTCCTGGGTTCCTGTGCTGCCTGGCCCTCGTTTGCCCATCTACACACTTGTCCTACATCAGCCTTGTTAGTCCTTTTTCTGCTCCAGGGTTTTTCCCATTCAATCAGCTCTCTGCCTGTTCTCCTACCTAATCACCTTATTCTCCTCAGCTGAGCTTCTTCTCCCTCTTCTCCACCTGCACTCCATCACCTCATCAGATTAGTTTGTCTTTGTTCAGTCTTTGCTTTTTTTGTTTTGTTTTGTTTTTCTTTATGTGATCTTCAGTTTTGCTTTCCCCGCTCTAACTTTGAATAAAAACTGATTTTAACTGAGTATCAGTTGCCTGCAGTCTCCTGGGTTTGGGTCCACCTGTTCCACACTACATGACAGTCATTATTTTCCATTTATGTGACCGTGCTTTGAAAGTCAACTTACTGTACAGTCTTCAGACTTACTGGAGATACTGTAGGTAATACATCACGGAGAGCATTTTGTCACATTGAGCTTGATATTGCGTGGTAATGCAGCTGTGAGCAGAAAGTGCTTTGACAATTCTTCTTGTTCAAGGACGTTCAAGAGTGTTGGCTGCTGAACAGCAACCTTTTACAGTAAATACAAGAAACAGACATGGTTACTTATCGTTTGCCTCCTGGGTTTAATCATCCGATAATATAGCTTGTGAATACAATTAACTATTTTCACAGTGTACTGAAATGAATGGACACCTGTGGTTGAAATTAATCATTCTAAAATGTATGCTTTCTGTGCTTTGGGAAAAGTCAGCTGCGTACTAGATTCAAATCTTTACCAAAGGTTGCGTCAGAGATTTGCAGACAATAAAGGGATTTTTCATCCATCAATGTAATCGTACTTAATGAGAGTATGTTACAAAAGGGGGGAAACTGTCCAAACCAAGAAAGGCACACAACAAAAGACACAATATAAACCGACAAATGACACTGTCAGAGCAAAAGCATGAGCCTGAAAAGTGTAGCTTCAATGGACACAAAGATATAACTTTCAGCGGCATACCCATCAACGCAAGTTGTGTAAAAACAGCCTTTACTCATTTACTGAATACCTTCCATTATATCAGGCTCGATTCAGATCTGAAGAATGTATTGATTTAAAGGGGACCTGTTGTGCTTGTTTTCAGGTTCATACTTTGTGTTTTTTACTAGAACATGTTTACATGCTTTCATGTTTAAAAAGAAGCCTTTATTTTCCTTATAGTGTTTGTGCTGGAACACCTGTATTCACTCTGAAGCCTGTCTCTTTAAACCCCCACCACCCCCATAGCTTGAAGTCAAAAAAGGTATTTTTCCGTGGCATGAAATAACCCGGAAGATTGACACTGCCTCTGCATCATGGGGCCCATAGAGCAAGTGCACTATTCTGCCGGTCGAAAATGTTACCTACTTATTTACAGACATGTCTTTTCTAATGTGAGTCTATTGAAAAAAGTCTTTTGGGCCAAATAGTATCATGTGATGGACCTGCAAGTTGTAATTTCACTGGCTTCATAGCCTGGTGCACTTCCTGGAGGCCTGGTCATTGCAGCCAGGGAATGACTGTAACAAAGTATAGCGTAACTTTCAACTGTTAAAATGACCAATAAAAAATATTTTAACCAACAGCCTTCACAACTGGGCATGTTTCAGCTGGAATCTGATCTAAAACTGGGGAGAAATTAATATCAGAAACCAAGATTGCATTTTTCCATGGCATTAGCATGTAGCTACATGTAGCAGTGTACTTGCAGCCTAAGAATAACTGTAATAAATGACTGTGAACTAGAATTTACACAACTGGACATGTCCAAGCAAGAATATGAGTCTGTGAAAAATTAAAACACTGGCAACCAAGATTACTGGTTTCCCTGAGGTTTGCGTAGCTACATTTAGTAGTGTACTTGCAACTGGAGAATGAGTGTAGCAGAGTATAAACGCACTTTTCGCAGTGAAAAATCACTAAAAGCTTCAACACATTCTTCCAGCAGGAATCTGATCCAAAATCAGGGGGAAATTACCAACATCAGCAACTAAGATAACACAGTTCCCTGATGTTAGCATGTAGCTACGTTTAGCAGTGTACTTGCAGCCAGGAATTTGCTGTGTATAGCTACACTTTCTCACATTAAAAATCCTCAACAAAAGCTTTGAACCAACAAACCATACATGCTCCAGCAGGAGTCTGATTGAAAAACAGTGAGAAATTAACCACATTGCCAACAAAGATTACATGTTTCCTAGGCATTAGCATGTGGCTACATGTAGCAGTCTACTTGCAGCTGGGGAATAATGTAATGGAGTACAGCAGCATTTTATACTGTTAAAAATCACCAACAAAAGCTTACCAAAGTTTTCACAGCTGGACATGTTTGAACAGGAATCTGATCCAAAACCGTAGAGAAACTAACAACTTCAGCAACCAAGATTGGATGTTTCCTTGATGTTAGCATGTATGTAGCTACATGTAGCAGTGTACTTGAAGCCAGAAAATGACTATAACGAATGGCTGTAAACCAAAATCTTCACAACTGGACATGTTCAAGCAAGAATCTGATCCAAAATCGCAGAGAAACTCACAACTTCGGCAACCAAGATTAAATGTTTCTCTGATGTTAGTACGCAGCTACATGTGGCAGGCTACCTAATGTAAATACTGCAATAGTTTTCCTGGAGCAGATGACTGTATAAAGAAATCTGTCACGAGCTGATTTTGGCTTGTCTAGAAAGAAAGAAAAACATTTCTGTAATCTGATTATTCAGAGCGGTCTGAGGCCTGATGTTTTTGCTCACATGAATACTTTTACATACTTTAAGCTAACTTTTTTAAAACTTGGGCCACGTTTAATATGAACATCCAACACCCAAAATAAAGAAAATCATAATAGGTCCTCTTTAAGTGTAATACTTTCATAAGAAACAAAAAGTTAAATAAATGTGACATGACCAGACATCCAAATCTGAATCCAGTGACATTTCGATTAACATACGTGTGATCACATCCACACATTCAAACAGACCTGTTGGGTTCTGACAGTTTCTGAGGCTTTATTTTAATTGGCTCATCTTTAGGTTATTATTTCTCATAATTCAAGAAGGTTGTGTTCCTCCGACCAGCGTGTTGTCTGTCTTTGAAGTAATCTCATGGTGAGGTTCAGCTTGTTTAGCACATCCTGCGGCTGCTCGTACATTCAGAGGCAATTGAATCTGCTGTCCATCATTTTTGCTCAATTATAACATAAATTTAGTCACTCTTTGATGATTAGAGGAGCTGGAGCTGGCTGTTTGAAGCTTTTGGTGTGAGGTAACAAGACGTGATTGGTTAGTTGGTGACTGCATGTTGTTGATCAAAGGGGTCTGAGACTCAAAGAGAGGAGGAATTTTTTTTTTTTTGACAGAGCTCAAAGAAGGATGTTATTTTGTCATTAGCAGCTGGTGATTTTTGTTGTTTTGCAAAATGAACGTTTGGTCCAAGAGCAATCATTCAAATGAAACAAAATTTTAAATGAATGTTCTAAACATGCAGAACCACCACTGTGACCCTTTGAAGTATTGAAGCAGCAGTTTGGTAATCCTTTATTTTGGTGGAGCTGAATTCAGGAACAGCTGCCACAGCTTATCAGAATAACATTGCTCCCTTCCACACTGCAGGTTAAGTCAGTGCTTTTAATATGATTGCATATAATATAAAAAAGTGCACTTTAGATAAATCATTGTGTAGCAAGAGATGTAGCCTAGCAACGCTGAAATTGTCGCTGTACCAGAAACAAAGCAGGGAAACAGTCAGTGTGGATGGCTGCAGTGAGTTCAAAGACATCCTAACAGAGATGACTGGATTGTATTTGTGACATTTCCACCTCTCTCACCTCTTTCAGTCAGCTCTCCTCTCTGCACAAAGCTCACTCGCTGAGGAGGAAGAAGAGGAGAAATATGCTGGCCATCTTCGGTTTTCGTAAAAACCGCAACCAAACTTTGTCCAATCAGGGGCCGGAGCCTGAAGCCGAGGTTTACGGAGATGGGTGTCACTTTGTTGCTTCAGCACCCACAGGGTTTGTGTATGCACACACACAACACACACACAGTCCGCTCAGAAAGGTACAGCCTTGAAAACACAACACAATGCTTATATGGTGCATTAGATAATAATACACACACACAAAGACCCATTTTCCTTCCATATTCTGCTGTACAGCTTCACATTCATCTCTTCTTGGTTCTCATAAGAACATTCAGCAGCACTGAATTACATAAATACTCTGACAAATATCACTCTAAATCTCCCTCATTTCTTTGTTGATGTGAGAAATGGCTGGTAGCTGCCAAAGTGCAGACAGGCTGATACCAGCGTGTGTACACAGATGTAGATGACAGCCGGCGGCTCTGATTCTGGATTCAACAGTCAGCCAAGTGATTAAGGATGAACACGCTGCATGTCAAATACAGATTAGGATAGCAAGATAGATGATTTCTGCAGAAAAATGATACTTTCTAATCACACTGTTGTCAAAGCTTGTTACATTTTAGTCTTAAAGGACTGATGTGGAGGATTTAGTGGCGTCTAGTGGCTGAGGTTGGAGACTGCAACCAAGTGAAACCTCTCCTGTATTCCAAGCCATGTGTAGCTGCAGACGCATTCAGTTTAAAGCCTACATGATACGCCCCTACAAACCGTGCCCACCACTAGTACAAGGCAAGCCCACCAACAGACGGTTTGTTTGAATCCTCCTACAGCACAACGTTGAAGTGAACAAATATGAGGCCAAACATAGCAATAATCCACCTTTATAATTCTTTGCACATAAAGATGGGATTTACCTCATGTAATCAGACATAACCGTTATCATTAGGCTAGCCCTACCCCTACATTTGCGCGTTCCCGCGAGGGATAGTGGTGTCCTAATTCCTTTTTGTGTGCAGGGGTAAGGGGCATAATCAGGGGTAGTGGGTATGAAACTAGCCCTTCGGTGCAAGGGATTTCAGATACTGACTTGCCAGCGTGGGGTAGACGTTGCCATGGCTACCACCGAGCAAGAGATGGGGAAAAAAGTTCATACATAGCTAACGTTATGGTCGTCAGGTTGCTTGTTAGCTAGCTAGCTAGCTCGCACTATCTAGCATCTGTCATCTGTCCTGTTCTGCAAAATTGTCGGACTTTTCACATTACGATAACACACCAGCTAGTATAAAAATGCTGCCTCGTAATGTTAGCTGGTTAGCTAGCTAGCAGAAGTCCCCTGTCGTCTGTCATTCATCAAACGAAGCATGATGAATGCGGCAAACGCGATCGGTAGAATGAATGAGACTCCATTGTAGATGCCGGTTGGAAATGTAGATGGCTCGCAGCTTCCTGTTTACAATAGTTACGTATGCGTGAACGTAACCGACGCGGTGACGTAGTGAGTGGTGTCCCAATTCCTAGGGAAAGGTTTCTACCTCTACCCCTTGTTGCTTCATTTTGAGGGCCAAGGGCTAGGGGTAGGGCCAAGGGCTAAGGGGTAGGGCCAAGGGCTAAGGGGTAGGGCCAAGGGGGGGTATTGGGATTGGGCCTTAATATAATAGCTAGATAAATGCTAACTTAAAGGCCCAGACGCACCAAACCAACATTGAAAAACTAGTGGTGACAAAGGCTGACTGATGTGTCGCCTCACCTCACCTATTTCTCTGCCAAAAAGCTGCACTTGAACACAACACAACTTTACTACAGCCAACAGCTAACTAGTTGTACAGTCTGAGCCTGCATGACAGTAAAAAATTCTCAGTTCAGCAGGCGGTAAAGTCTGGATTCATCGTTAAAAAAGGGAAAACAGAAGACCAATAGGACGCATTTAAAATGCTAATTAGCCAGTGAGCACATTGACTCACAACCTGATATTGAAAGAACAAAGGATATTTACCATGCGCCAGCGAACAAAAACACAAAGTTATGAACCATTTCTGCTTAAGAGTTCGATGGCTAAAACAAGAAATGTTATCTTATATAACAAGTTTGTTTTGATCTCATACCCTTTTGACTTTAGCTGCTTGTTTGCTTTCCTAACTTCTGTTTCTCTTCTCATCCACTGAGCTGAACTGCCAATCAGAGTGATTTCATTTGCAGAAGGGCTTCGATATCTCGACACCAATTCAGCATACTGAATCAGCCGAAAAAAAGCTGACGAGGGCCAACGATTGATCAGTGGGCGGCTTAGGGTGTCAGGGCCCTAAGGTTTTCTTCAGGGCTTCTGCTTTGGACCAAAGGGCAATGTGGGCTGACCATGGATTGATGCGTGGGTATGGTGGGCTAGTCTCATAGCCACTGCAGCCACAGTTATACCTATTCGTGTAGGAGAATGATGGTGGCAAGCATGAAAATGCAAATGGCCCTATCTAGAGTTAGTGTTTGGTTTGTCCGTTCTGGGCTACTGTAGAAATAACATTGCAGACTTTGTGGAAGAGGACCTGGGGTCTCATTTATAAGCAGTGCGTTCATACAAAATGAGGCCTGAAAGATGCATACACTACTTCCCACACAAAAGTTGTAATCTGTAGAAAAAAAAAAAGATTGTATGGGAGCAACTTTGACCCACGCTCACGAACATTTTGGAGACAGGAAATTGCCGACACAGATGGTAATATAAACGGCTCATTCTAAGGTTATAAAAATGCAATGACTCTTAGTTTCAGGTGATTATACACGAAAGAAAACATAGCTACAAATGTTATATTCCATTTCTGCCTTATAACCCCCTAAATCCTACACACAGGACCTATAATACTTTATATGGAAACAGCAGCCTTGTGGCTCATTGTCATTGTCAGTGTCTTCCAACTTTCAGGACAGCCACAGAGAATGTATACACACTCCTTCAGCCTCCAAGGTCTGCTGCCAGGGCTGGATCTCCAGGCGAAGGGGCTGATGGGAAGACAAATGATCACCAAGGGAAAACTACGCTTGTCTTGAGTCCGCCGCCAGTGCCGGGCATCCCTCACCCGGGTGTAGGAGGAAGCAAACACCCCTTTTTTTCCCCCAGAGAGGTACAGGGAGTGGGACCCACTACAAGCATTCATTTCATTGGAAGTTTGCCTCGGGTACGATCTTTTCTTTTGACTCTCTCTCTTTCTCTCTTTGTTGTGTTTTGACAGAAACCCGAAGTGGATTCTGTGTTTGAACATCCGGAGGAGACAGACAAGTACTGGGTGGACGACAAACAGAGGCCAACGGAGATTCTGCAAGTGGACAAGTCATGGATGGAAACAAGGCAGAGCGACCAGCATGCTGAGAAACATTTAGAGAGACAGCGGTTTGATAGCAGGGGGCAAGAAAAAACTTTTGGAGAACCGAGAACAACCGACAGACAAACAGACAGGTACTGGACTGAGAGCAGACACCCCGAAAGACACGTGGACAGACAGTGGACTGTTGACAGACACACCCAGCGACAGATTGACAGAAAGATAGAAAGACAGTGGATGGGTGGCAGACAGATAGACAGGTCATGGTCGGAGAACAGGCCGACGGACATACAGGTGGACAGTCAGTGGACTGAGAGCAGACAAGCGAGCAGGAAGACAAGTGAGAGACAAGTGCAGGCGCTTCATTTGGCTCAAAGGCCGCTGCCTCCATACCCATCAGACAGGACGCCTTCGCCAAAACAGGAAACAGATCCTCTGAAAACTACAGAGGCGTCAGCTACAGACTGGCAGCAGCAGGACACGCAGGGAGACAGACAAATGTGTCCAGATGCCAGTGCAGGGTTCACAGAGGGATGGAGGAGCAGCGGAGGAGGAGGAGGGCGAGTTCCCTGTGCAACTAAACCTGATCCCCCGCCGCAAAGCAGTAAACCCAACCTGTCCAAACTGAGGCAGAGACATCGGCTCGAGAGCTCAGACGCTTTACCAGGTACTTCACTGTCAGCTACGTGCTGCAGGCTGGAAAGGAGGTTTAAGCTTTTGCTGAGAGGTTTCAGCTGCAGTCGTCACCTGAGTGTATTATCACACCACAAACCGACATGTAGGTGACAGTCATTTCTTTTAATTCAGGTACAGAGGAGGAAGGGGAAACAGAGAGGGATCCTGGAAAGATGGAAAAGAAAGAGAGAGAAAAAAGAAGAGATTCGGAGGGTCAACCTCCTCCGATTCCAGAAAAGGTGTGCGATTTATAGCCCTGCATGATTCGGTTTGTTTTATGTAGGAAAACTAATCCACAGTATCCACAGGCCTACTGTAAATATAAAGCAAATTTTCCAGTACAGATAATTGTCTTTATCCTCTTGATTTGTTCATGTTTTCTGTTCTGATCCGAAAAACAGCCAAAGACGTCCTCGTATGTGACTTTTTCAAAAGAAGCAGCCAATGAGAGGAACCTACCTCCTCCTCCTGTGCCACCTCCTGTGAACAAGCCTGCACATGGATTACCAGACAGGGCTGCAAGTCAAGGTAACTCCACTGAACACACAAACAAACAACTTGGTGGTGTTAACAAATGCGAGACTTAAAGCGCTCAGTTGTGTTCACATTCCCATTATGAGATTTTTCAGATATCTGCCTGACTTTGATATCACTGTAAACGGTTTACTTTTTGTTCAGACTCTTATTTTGGGATGTCCAGGTGCAAATAAACAGCTCAGCTGCAGAAAACTTTCATGGGTTCAACATTTTGGAAAAAACACTTAATAGCTTTCTTGCAGAGAGTTAGATGAGAAGGTTGATACCACTCTCCGGTCCTTGAAGTGCTTGAATTTTGAGGGGAAGAAGTCAAATCCTTGAGTACCTTGCAAATAGCCCCTTTTTTTTAACAAAGTGCTTCAAGTCCTTGAAATTCATTCCACTCTTCCACTCTTGGCATGACTATATTTAACACGACTTAACTTACTTGCCTACTTGCCTTACAGTTACCCAAAAACAATGTGAGTAACCCTCCACTGGAAAGAAGGACATTGATCACATCTATTTTTTTTTCATGCAAACATTAATTTTAAACTTAATTATTTCCCTTGAGTGAAGTCTCATGGGAAATTTAGCTGTTTCAATGCTCGTTTTCCACAGTATTGATGCAGTAGTAATCAAGTCAGAAGTCGTCTAAATCCTGCACTTGGGCAATGACATCCAGCGTTAGCCATCCTTGAATGTCGGCATGATACACAGCCTGTAGCCATAATAGTTTAACGGTGGCCGGTGGTGCAGGGGAAAACATGGTGGGGCAAAAATGAGAGTTAAGGCAGCAAAAGTCCGAGTAGGGTGGGTGGGTCCAACAAACACCGACTTGTCTCGGGAGAGTGGTGCTCACATCCCGTAAAATTATAAACACGAACCCGTTCTTTTTTCTAAACCCAACCACATGTGTTTCTTTTTGTAGGAAGAAAAATTTCAATCAATTTGCCTTGTTGTACCAATGTAGTGCGTTTAATTTGAAAGAGACTGTATGTAAATGTTAAATTTCCTGTGAAAACAAGTGTATTTTGAAAGGAGACAATGCATGTAACAGGCAGAACTTGACACAGCAATAAGAAAATCATGATAATAAGAGATAAAACTACCTGTTGTTGTTTTCATACCTGTTGTTCAGGTGAAGAAGGATTGAGACCTCAGGCACCAGTGAAACCACAGAGGAACAGAAAGGCCATGTCTTGTGACGCAGGTACAGTTTGTCGTTTCTGCATCACAGTAAATACTCTTACTATTTACCCAACAGGTTGCTACATGGTACATTTATGTTGGGACTTTGTGTATATACGTTGACCTGTGTGTAAAGCGTCTGTATCTAACTGTTAATTTGTGTTTCTTTGTCCTCACTGAACTCAGGCACTGACAGGGAAAGCCCTAATAACGTTGAGAAGCCCCCAAATCGCAAACCCCCCGTGAAAAAACCTAGACTACCCCAAAACAGAAATAAGTCACTGGACTTGTCTGGTACACGTCTCTCTGTTTTTATATATGTGTGTGTGTTTGTGTGTGTGTGTGTGTGTGTGTAGCAGATGTCAAGTGGTAAAGTGAGTCAAGTGGTAATTAAAACACCACAGTATGTGTTATAATGTGGAACGTGATCATTAAATTGCAATCTATTAAAAGTTAAACACGGGATACTTAAATAAGCAGTGTGTAAGATTTAAGGGGATTTAGTGCCACGTGGCAGTGAGAATTGCAGATTGAAACCAGCTCAAACTTTTCCCGGTCATGATTCTGATCACACAGAAAGTGTTTTAGCAGCTGGAGGCGGATTTTGTAATTTTTAAAGAGAATGAAGCTTTTTACTTTTGTTTTTGGCATTGCAACGCACCTCGAGTCTCTGTGCTCTTGGCACCTGGCATTTTTGCTGGAGCACTCTGAACTCCTCAAGTTGAAAAAAACTTCAGCTCTGAGTGAAAGAATGCCCCACATAATCTCTTCTTACGTCATCTTTTTTATCCCATTGTCCAATCAGATGATTTGAGAGGCGGACCAAGTTTACAGTCTGTAAACAATAGAGGAGAAACAGCAGGATGTCAAACTGCCCCCCGAGTCATCCTAAAATATGCCTGGAAATGGTCATCAGTAAGGTGAAACTCCTGGACCAACTGGTGGTACTCCCCATGATCCACCCTCTTTATTAGGGTCTCATGTAGCCACACAGATCTCTGTTTCCCTGTGCCCAACAAACTATTAGCTGACTGTTAGCCTCTCACCCTCAACCAGAGCTACAGCAGCTACCCTCTGCCTCAGCATTTAGTAACTAGATACTAATTACAGTGAAAAGATTGATTACACTGGAAGTTATAGGGTGGTTGCCTGGCAATGATGAAAAGGCACAGCAAGCGTTTCTTTACTAGTGGCATGCAATTAGTGTTGCCTTAGTGTTGTGTTGTTTGGAGGTTTTCACCGAACTGTCTAGAGCCAAATTATCAGCAGAGGCCTCTACTTCTCCAAAACAAACAGACCAGGTGATTTAAACCTGTAAAAACACTTAATAAAGCAGTTTCACCTTACAAATCAGGGGTTTCCTGTGCTGTTTGGCACGTTGGAGACGGGCCATGAGCCCAGCACCTGCTAATGTGTGCTCACATTTTCTCACTAACTAAAGATCAAGACTTTCAGGAGGTTTTTGCAATGTGCCAAATTGTCAGAATAGGTCTCTTCTTCTACAAAACAAACGGACCTGGTGATTTAAACTGGTGAAAACACTGAATAAAGCTGTTTAACATTTATTTGTGGAGGAGCTGTGAACTACAATGGCGGATATGAAAACGTGAATGGCCCTATTTAGAGCCAGTGTTTGGTCGACCCGGTCTCACTCTGAAGTCGTCAAAATCCAGCACTTGGGCAGTGACCTGTGGCGTCAGACACTGATGAAAAAGCAGTCAGCATGATACATGGCCGGTTGCTGTTATAGTTTAACAGCGCTCGGCGACAAGAACAAAAATTACAGCTGGGATAGTCCGAGTGGGGGGGTCAGGAAAGGTTGTGGATTGGTCAAACAAACACTGACTTTCACCCGGGAGAGTGTTTTTGTGTCCCACAAGATTAAAGAGCCAAACCTTGTTCTTTTTTCCTAAACATCACCACTTGTTTTTGTTGCCTAATCCTAACCACATGCATTAGTTGTTGGAGGAAATAAAACGTCAATTTGCATTGTTGTACTGACGTAGTGCATTTATTTTGAAAGAGCCTGCATGTAAACGGTAAATTTCCTGTGAAAACAGAAGTGTATTTTTAAAGACGATGCATGTAACAGGCAGAATGTGACACGTACCAGAACGCCAACAACCAACACACTCATGACCAAATGTTGATATGTGACGAAGTCTGTGTGAGAATGTGTTGGTCTGTCTGTTCGGGGCTTCTACATTTACAAGGTGGTGCAACATGGCGATCTCTGTGGACAAGGACCGACTCCATAGATATAAACAGCTCATTCTAAAGTAACAAAAACATGATAATGAGTTTTTCACGTGATTATACACTAAAGAATACGTTGTTATTATATTCCATTTCTGCCACTATATCCCCCTAAATCCTGCACACTGCACCTTTAAGCGTACATCTCTACACATTGTGAACTTACTGTTTTAAAGTATCTGTAGATCTGAATGGATAAAAAGTATTGATTAACCACAGTGATATTTTTCTGATAGTAGCGACTCCCTGCCACTGATCAGCCTCGTGTCCTGTTCTACTTTATAGACAGCCTCAACTCAGCCTCTGGTCACAGCGAGCTGTTGTGATGCCAGAGAAATTCACCCGCCGCTGTCCGGCCGGAGCGTTGTCATGACAACTGTGGAGCATTTCATCCAACGAGGAAACAAAGAAAAACCATACGAGGATGAGGAGGAGGGGGAGAGCTGGAGAGAAAATGTCTGACAGACATCATAAAGCATCAGTCACTTGCTTCTGTTGAAACACTCTTTTTCCTTAATGTCACGTTCCTCTCTTTCTTCACCCCGGCTGTGTTTCCGTTTCCTCTCACATGAAAACTCTTTTTGTGGCTACAGTATTTTAACAGTATTTGCTACTTTAGAAAACCCAAAATGATCATTGTCTTTTGTGTTGGTGGACGGTGGGCTGAGTGTTGGAGCGTTGTGGCTTTGCTAGACAGATTAAAAAAAAAAAAAGTCTTTATTAGAATGTGATTTCTTAAATCTGCAATGCATTTTTGACTGCTGATACAGTTGATTGCCTTGGTTGACACTTGAAAATGAGTTGCTTCTTATCAGATGAAACTTGATGATTTATATCTAGTTTTGCTTTCAGGAACTGAAAGGTAATATATTTTATAGAAAAAAATAAATATTATGTATGAGCACCCTCACTGTATGAATAAAACACTAATGGAAAAAAACTGTGATGCTTCTTTGTGGTTCGCTAAATCACGTTAAATAAACTGTTTCAGTTGAAATATACTTAAAGGAATTCTTCACATCAGTTACTGACCCCATGCTATGTTCAGTTCCTGAAGAAAACTTTTTTCTGGCATGCCTCCACGGTAAGCAAAGAATCCAAAAACAGAGAAAACTGATAATGAATTGAGCTCACAGGGATCCACATTTAACAGCAGACTTAACAAAGTCTCATTTATGCAGTCGTATGCTCAGCACTTCTTAAGCAGAAGGCCCTCTCCAACAGGGAACTGAGCGGACAGTAAAACTTTTGCTTTCTTCAAAGCCAGGCTCCATTGACAAAAACAGTAATTTTACATCACTGAACACAAGCTGCTGGTCTACCACTGCCTCAATCAGTTAGTTTGTTTGTGTTATTGTGTGACTTTGCTGAATCCGAACTAACCCTTAAACCCAGTTCAGATCAATGATTTGCGATGAGACTGGTTTAAGGATGTAAAGCACCTGTTTCAACAGCCAATCAGCTTGTAGTGAAGTTTGCTGGTCGAGTCAAAATAACCATAGACGGCATGTTCGCTTGCTAAAGCAGGTACTCCATCCCCACCGAGTCCTTTGTTTCCGTCCTCACAGTGTATGTGTATGTGCTTATGCTTCCTCACACATGCATATTTTCACTGACTAACTAATTGGCGCTGCTTACTTATATTATTGTGGTGCATTTATTGTGAATACAGTCACAATGCTCACAAACAGTCACAATGCTGATGCTCATTTTGTTTGTTTTTTACCATTTCATCACTACTACAAATGCAACAGCAGCCAGTATCTCACTATCACTATCCTCATTCATATTTTAGGAAGCTACAAATTATATACAGCCACAAAATAAGACTGAAAAGCTGGAAGTCAGAGCATAGAGATGATACACCGTCTCATCTAGTTGGTCTGAACGTTGCAGAACAGCACATTGCAAGTAGCTGCCTGTTTTAAACGAATCTTTTCTCTGAACTGGACTTTAGAAACACCAAAGTCACACAATAACACAAACTAAATGATGGAGGCAGCAGTAGACCAGCAGCTCCTGTGCTCAACGGGGTAAAAATTACAATGGCTTTGAAGAGAGCGTTAGTGAGTCTTGTGTAGTAAGGTTTTCGCAAAAACTCATGTGTTTGGGAAGTACTGAGCACACTGGATAAATGAGGCTTGGATTATACTGCACAAGTTGTGTGAGAGTTTGTAAATGGATGTTTTGATATGCTGTTGTGACCTGTGGTTCCATATGACCATATGACTTGTATTTACTTATTTTTTAAGTTATTTTCAAATTCAACATAACACAGAATGAGTGATAAACAAATGGTCATTTTAGGGGGTGAAGTTTTCCTTTATAGCAGCTATAATCAATTTATTTATCTTGATGGCGGATCACATGACTATTTTTTTTTTAAATATTTTTTAGGGCATTTTGCCTTTAATGGACAGGACAGGTAAGTTTTTTTTTTTTTTTNCAGGCTGGAGTTGAGCTCAGGCCACTGCAGCAACAGCCTTGTATATGGGGCGCCTGCATATTACCCTACTTCTCTGCAAAGTTTATTGTTACTGTACAGCTCCTCTCAGCTCTGTGGACTGTTTAATAGCATCTTTGTTTTCATTTCTCTAACTGTTCTGGTTCACTCTCACTGCTCTTCTGGTGTTATTTACAGCGAAAACTCATAAAATCCATCATGTGCTACCTATACAGCACCAGAAAGGTGTTAGTAACTCACTAGTGTATACACAGTTGTGGAGCATTAAGCAGCTAAAAAGCCAGGTGTGTCTTTCAGAAGTTGGTGGGAAACAACTAAAAGGAGAATTTTTAGGCAATGACTCACTTACAGTCATCAGGTGGGAAGAAAAACAGCTCTAAATGAATGTTTATGTTGCTCCATGTTTGCTGGTTGTGTAAACAAGTTCACCACATCTACATAAAAGGGATAATATGTCAAAGTGTTTAAGGCTTGTTTCTGCAGCCCCCAAGTGGACAAAGAGGTCAAATGTCTCAACATCAATCAGAATCTGGTTTATTCCAAAGTAGGTTTTCACATACAAGGAGCCTGCTGTGGGGTTTTGGTGCATAACATGAACATTTTAGGAGAAAATTAAAAGAAAAGTAAAGCAAGTACTGCAAAAATCAAGAGACAAATATCGAATAAAATTGCAGTAAATTATGAAAACATAGAATAATATTAAAAAAAATATGTGCAATATATCTAAAGAGAAATAAAAGAGATGTGCTAAGACAGTGGTCCAGCCACAGGGTCCAGATATCGCCACAGTCATTAGTTCAAGGTCCACACATCAATATATTCAGTGTCATACTTGTGTTTGGCCATGTCGTCGAGCTAGTTTGCTGTCTCTGTCAAGTAGCTCTCCGTTATTCACTCATTTTACGGCAAGAAAGGGCACTTTAGAACAAAAACTTGGTGCTCCAAATTTATTATTTGAACTTAAAAATAAAGTGTGTTGACACATGTGCGAGTCACTTACAGTATACCCTTTTTCCATAGTTACATTACTAGTTATGCGCCGAGTAAAGTCATGCCGCACTGATTTTTGTTTCCATTGTCAGTTTAGACGCGCTGTGCCATGCCAAGCCGCAACAGAGATGGACCCTCTTAAGAGTAGGTCCAAAAGTTGGGTCACCCGCTCTCAAGCGGGTAGCGGTGACATCTCGCCGACCGCAGCCAACCCTTGACGACCCCCATTCTGTCCCCAAATCAAGCCTGTGTGTTGTGTGACTCTTCTCACCTCTGTCTGCAGGACACCAGAGAGAAAGCCATCTTAAAAAGCTTCTCTGTGTCCAGCTCTCAGGAGTTTTGTAGCTTCTAACTGATTCTCTGTGGTTTGGAGTTTAGTTTCTCTCCTGCGTCCTGTTTTTACTTTAGATATCTGCTTTATTTTACTGTTTCATGTTCACTATCAGCCTTATCAGAAGTTGTGTGAAGTTGCTGCTGAAAACCCAACATTTCCTTGTTTTGCTTCACAATAGTAGTTTATTCATAACAAAATAACAGGGGGCTTTTATTGTGAAGAATCTATTGGAAATGAAATTTGTTATCAGTGAATCAGCTGAGCTTTATTAGCAGTTTTTCTTCAATAAAGACAAGTCTAATAATACAGCAGGGAGGAAAGTGAAAGCAGAAACAGCCACAGTGAGATGTTGATGAAGAGCTGCAGACAACAGGCTCTTACTGCACCTCTGCAAACAGCTCACCTCCAACAGGTAAACTTCTCTTACCTGCCCTGCTGTGGATAAACATGTTACAAAAATTACAGGGGACTTAAGCTGTGGATCAGCCTGCTGCTTTTAAACATCATCAGTCAAGAGAAGCTGTCATCAGTTTAAGACACACCTTCAAGGATGGTGTGCTGAGTTGACGGCCAAGCCAGACCATGACTGTCAAAAAGAGCTATTACAGTCCTTTCAGAGTGGACTTGCGACCTACTTTTGGACCACGACCCACCAGTTGGGAACCACTGGTCTAAGAGATGAAGGAAAGAAATGGAAAACTACTGGACTAATTAAAGCCTAATTAGTTCACCATCACCCTAAAAAGTGGAATATTTAAGCTGCTGAATTCATCCACCGACTAGCTTGATTTCCATGATCACAGGTGGAGGCTTAATTTACTTCAGAGATGCATCTCTCCAGTTGGCATGGCAACCTGATATATTCAGAAGTCAAAGAATGTGAGAAACAGCAGGGGGCGACTGATCCCTACAAATGAGGCAGAAACACACACTCACACACACTTGCATTCACACACACACACTCACATGATTTGAGTGGAGCAGCAGTCTCGCAGGTTGTCATTAGCAACCGTGCCGTGACCTTTTTCTAAAGATGCTGTAATGAGTCAGATACCAGTTACAGCCAGGGTAAGGAAATCTTTGCAGTTTGTTGAGATGTAGATAAAGAGTTTGTTTTTTTAAATCAAGTCAGTGATTTTTAACGAGCAAACAGCCTCTGGAGAAATGCTAAGCAGTTTTTTCTTCTTCTTTTTTTGGATGACTGAGACTAATTGCTGTGTTCGCTAAATATTACACATGTATATTTTTGCACAACAGTCTTCTCTTTTCCCCAGATGTTATGGCTGCTCAGATGAGGGAGATACTGTGTGTGTGTGTGAACTTTAATTCATTCATTCAATCATTCAGTCTACACATTAATTAATCACCGCAGTTTTCCAGATAAAAGATGATTTAATATCCTGCCCCGCATCCACTCTCAGCCCAGTGTGTGAGCTACGAGCAAGCCTCCGCTGGAGCAATTTAACATCTCAAATTTTGATTTATGGTGAGATTACAGGCAGCGTATTGGCAGTCTCTGCAACAATGACTTCATAACAGTACAGTGAAATATAACCCTAGTGTTGGTTTGAACTTTTACTCCCACTCCACCTCGAATGTAATGTGGAATCCACAGTAAGTGAGTCCTCTCATGCAATGATACTCCCCAAAATGAATGTGCCTACTGTTATTGATGAACTGTCAAGAGAGCAGCTGCAGGAAGGCGAGCTTTGAGCTTTTAAAGACGCTGACAGTAAATTAAAGATTATTTGATTGATTCCTTTTTCTTTTTAAACATTTTTTACACTTTTAAAGCAGGATTTCGGTTCTTTTCTTGCATAATTTAATTTCACATTATACTGCGACCTTCCTTTAGATCAGGGTCCCAAAGCCAACCGTCTGTTTGCTGCTTAGCAATCAAAGATTAAATGCCTCGGTCAATGCTGCTTCAACAAATGTTCATTATTTTTAAACGCTAACCCCAAAGTGATGAGACTTAGGTTCACACAGCACCCAAATCCTGAAATCCAAACTGAAATATTTTACTCCAAGTTTCCTTCGGCTGTTATTTTGGCCACGATACACCATATTCTTTACAGCTGATGTGAAGACACATCACATCACACAGGAGGCACCCGAACACATCCTACTCTTCTCATCATTCTTC